TTCGACGGAAGAAGAGCAGTGTAACGTAGTAAGTATTTTAGAAGGCCATGGGTGATTTAGTAGCCCGGAACGGGCCGTTCTAAACTACTAAATAGGCCTATGAATCTTGGACTGGAACGGGCCGTTCCAAAATGGTCATTGTGAGTTAAATTCAACTCCAGAACGGGCCGTTCTGGTTTTAGAACGGGGCATTCTAGACGTGCCAAAACGGGCCGTTCTGATTTCAGAACGGGCCGTTCTGCATGTGAATTTTACACATGATGAAGGAGCCCAGAACGGGGCGTTTCGGATTTGAAACGGGTCGTTCTGGCCACTTCAGGCTTCTATAAATAGAGGTTGTGCAGTTGAGGAGAAGGAGAGGTTTTTAGAGAGAAGTTTTAGAGAGAAGGACTCTGGACTAGGAAGCTTGCTTTGAGTGGATTGAAGTTCCGGGTTGAGCTTCAGAAAGGAAATTCTACTTCTTCTCAAGTTCTTGGCTATTTTGAGCCAATCTTCAGGTAAGGGAAGCTAGATTGTATGTTGTTTGGTTGTATGTGAGTTTAGGAACTCATATGGAGTTGTATAATTATATTGAGATGTATGATGAGTAAAAAGTGAAATGAAGAGATGCATGTTGAGTATAGTGAAGTTTTTTACAAGTTGTGTGTTGATCTATGATATTGTTGAAGCATGTTGAAATTAAGTTGATAAAGTTGTTATATGTTATGTGTGGACGACATGTTTATGTTATTGTGAAATATGATGAGATGATATAGTTGAAAGTTGTGAAGTGCATGATGATAATATTGTGAGTTGTGAGAAGCATGATGTGAAGTGTGTAGATGTGTGTGATTTATATAGATGTTATTAGTAGACTATGTTGTTAAGTTGTTAGAGAATAGTTGTATGTTACTATAAAGTTGTATGTTGTGCCATGTGTTGAAAAGATATTATTTTATGATGATTGAGTTGTAAATTATGAGTTGAGTTAATAAGTTGTTGAGTTGATTGTGCTGTTTAAAGTTGAAATGAGATGTTGTGTTGTTAAAAAGTGTTGTTAAACTGCGTTGATAAGTTGTTGTGCTGATATACCATGTTTAAGTTAAAAGTTGATTGAGATGATGAGTTGAAAAGTTGTACGATGTTTAAGTTGAGCTGTGTTGTTGAGTTGTAAGCTGATTAAGCTGTGATGATGAGTTGTTGATCACTAGGACTAGGGGAGATGTTTTCGAAGTTGCTCATCCCATTGTGTGGATTGAGATAGTTGTGGTGCTATGAGAGCCCAATTTGTTGAAAAACCCTCTTTGGGAAGTTGTCCCTTGGAGTGGACGTTGTGTTGTTCTCCTCTAGGACTTAGTTGATCCTGTGTGTGGGAAAGGTCGAGGCACACGTGTACAAAGCGACCACGGTATAGGGGCCAGGCCGAGCTATACCGATTACAAGTAGTCAGATGTTTAATGTTGTAAAGTTGTTATGGTGCCTATTGTTGTAAAGTTGAACAGTTGGGGACATATGGTAAAGATATATGTCCTATGTTGAGATACATAGTACTAAGGTGATAAGTTGAAAGTTGTTTTAAAGTTGGATCCCTTAGTACTGTGTGGGCGGCATGGAAGTAGTCGATCCATGTCATGGTTGAATGACCAATTTGAGTAAGGTATCTAGTTAGAAATGTAATCTTTGACTAGGTACTGGAGGATGCGTGGTACTTGGAGGACAGTGGGTGGGCTAACTCCATATGTGGATTGGTGATGCTAGCCAAGACTGTGGTAGACTCATACCCAAACCCTTATGTCCTGACAATAGTATTGGACCTCCGAGTCTAAGTGGCACACCTGAGCAATCGCCTATTGTTGTCTATACCTGGCTCTCTTTGGAGTTCCTAACGATGTCTTATACCTGACCTGGTTGAGATAGGTCAAACACTGGATTCGGAAGGGTTTATGCCACATAGACTGCTCAACCTCAGTTGTTGGAGATCTCCGAGTTGAAATGCGTGATGACGCATAAGTTGTTGATGAGTTGATTTGTTGTTGATATGAGTTGTGTATATGTTGTTGTGTTGTTAAGTTGTGATTGTGTTGGATGTTGATCCTGTTGAGGATGATGATAGTGTTGTTATGTTGTAAGTTGCTTTTAAACATGTGTTGTTGAGAGATGTTTAATACATGTGTTGGTTGTTGTTATGACGAATATGATAACTATTCCAATGGTTTGTACAATAGTTGTGTTGAAGTGTTGATATAGCGTTGATATGTGGAATCAAGTTGAAATGATGTTAAGATGTATAATATATATGTTGTTTGTCTTATGTGTCAGATGCGAAGATGATTATATAGTTATTGTATTACATATTAAATTATTATGAGTTGTTTATTGTCTCTAGCTTACCCTTGCATGTTTCTATGTGGTTTGGACTGCGATGATCATACGTTGTATGGGAGCACGGCAGGGATAGGCTGGAAGATAGCTGCTAGAGGCCACAAGAGATGCTTAGAGATGAATATATTTTTTTGTAGGCTACCTTATAGTAGCATATTTTAGTTATATATAACTAGTTGTTGTTGGTTGCTTGATTAGTAACTTGTGTTGTAAATATTTTATTATACTATTCTAGTATATATTTTCTAGTAGTGTGTAGTGTTGTTTCGTAGTGTGACGGCCACGGCGGGTCATTACAATTTGAATTTCAATAAATAAAATTTTGAAAGAAATATTGCATTAATTTTATAGATTATTTAAAATGTGTTTATTTTTATTCATAATTTTTTCCTTTCCAATCCATCCATGGTCAGGGAACCCCAAAAACTAGCATCGACAAACCCCAAAAATCAGCTTCGACAGAAGAAGAGCAGCTCGTTGTTAGGCATGGCAACGAGGCAGGGCGGGGGTTGGTTTTATGTTCCCTGCCCCACCCCTGTAAGTTTAAACCGCCCCCGCCCCCACC